CATTGCCTCACATCAATAACTAGCTGTCCATCTCAACCAGTGACTAACTGCAGTGAGGGAGCAACTGTTGAATGCAGTAAGGGGGTCTGCTTTTATTGTGTGTACTAATTTTAGCAAATTTAACAATGGGTCTAAAATTATTAGATACAACTCCCCGGGATATGTTAAAAACTTTAAAATTAGTACAAATGCCATTATAAGTATCTGCAATATATTTACAGCACTCTAATTATTATTAATTTATTTAGTAATCAGAGAATTCGATAAAGTGACCAATCAAATCAATTCATGCAATGATACAACATCAGTCACAATAACTCCATCACAGACCTCATCAAGCACCTTAGTATCAACAGGGCGTACTTCAACAACTACCAGTACTACTAATACAAGTAATGCATTCCTTTTTTATTTTATTTATTCCATGCATTAATTATTTATTTATTTATTTATTTATATCACAGTTCCTCCAACTGTTGGTGCTACAGACTTACCATTCTACAGAGAGTCTCTGTTCCTATACACTGGTGCTGGAGTAACGGTGTTCATTTTATTCCTTTTGTGTGTAATATGCTGCTGTTGCTGCTGCCATTGTTACTGCAGAAGGAAGAAGAGCATTCCATATAATGCCCGTCATAGCCAGCACATAACACAACGAACTTCTACCATCACTTCAGGAACCAGTGATGATTTATGTATTGTGCGTAATCCAATGGCGGAAGACATGGTCGATAATACTGATCCTAGCATTGCTCCTTCTTCACCTTCAGTGGCCCCTCCTCCTGCCCCGCCCCTAGCTCCTGTCCCGCCCCCTCCTCCTCCTCCTCCTCCTCCTGCTGTTGGGTCTCATACAATGCCCAATAGAAGATCCGCTAGTTTACCGAATCACGAGTCAATGTTAAATGGAACTCCAATTGGTTCTCCTCCTCCTTCTGCCCCTCCTCCCCCACCACTCCCTTCAACTCCGCCCTCTGCCCCGCCCCCACCTTCAGCCACTAGGACATTCCCACGTAAAGTCTCTGCTCCTCCTAGTCTATCCCCTATTCCTGCTTTCCGTCATCCTGTAACCTCAACCGGACCTCCTCCTCCAAACACTTCAACTGATCAATACTTTAATAGTCTTCCTACTCGTAAATCAAACCCTACAACCCCTCAACATGTCGTCACCTCAGGCCCAGCCCCACCTCCAGCCCCGCCCCCTCCCCCTATCCCTGCCACTAATAGTATGGATCGGAGGTTGTCACAGCCTGCAAGGTCAATTGGTTCAGTACAGCAGCAGCAGCAACAGTTCCAGGCTCCAGCTGGACTCCGGCACTATTCTTCAACACAGCCCAACCCAGTGCCGAGTGGTCAGGCTATGAGAGGTCCCCCATCTAATAATTATCCGGCTGCCAGCCTTTCTCAGTATTCCGAGAGGAGAGTCTCTTTTAATAATTGACTTTAATGTCGTGTAGAGGACTTGATGTTGTATTGTTTTGCAGCTGTGGTTATTGTATGAAACTCAATGTAAACATGTTTTTGTAAAGTAGATTTTTTTTATGTTTAAATTGTTTATTCAATATTTATTAATAATAATTAATAAAAATAATTAACTTGGAATGTCGGTTTAGTTCGCTTTATTAGAACAAAATCGACAAATACGGCAGCATAAATTCCTTTAGAGAAACAAGAGATTGAAGAAAGGGCCCTCGTTTACTTTAAGAGTTGACTGGTTTGATCTGTTTCCACTACGCCTGATTAAAGATGGAGCGAGCACTGTGTAAAGCAAAAACGGCAGAGAATTTAGAAAAGTACGAGGACGTCGTATCAAGCATGAAAGAGTTCATTGAACTAGGAGGCGATATACATGAAGCTCAGAACAGGAACCTACTCTCAGTCGGGTACAAGAACACAGTTGGGGTGCACAGAAATGCCTGGAGGACCATCTCCAGTTTAGAAAAGGCGGATAGTAAAGAGATTGAGAAAGAGATATTGAAAGAGTACAAGAAACAAGCTGTCGACGAGATTGTTAAGATCTGCACTGATGCTGTGGATCTTATTACTAATAAGCTTCTTCCTGGTGCTCAGACAACAGAATGTAAGGTCTTCTATCACAAGATGAAGGGAGACTATTATCGTTACATGGCTGAGGTCGTGGACGGAGATGACAAAGAAGATAAGAAAGAAAAAGCAAAGGAAGCGTATCAAGAGGCAGTCAAGGCCTCGGAGGACTTGGGTAAAACTGACCCAATACGACTGGGTCTGGCTCTTAATTTCTCTGTCTTTTATTACGAGATTTTAAACGATTCCGATGAGGCCTGCAAACTGGCAAAGAAAGCTTTTGATGACGGCATAGACGAGCTTGATACTCTAAGCAGTACCAGTGCCTATAAGGATAGCACTCTCATCCTCCAGCTGTTACGTGACAATCTGAACCTTTGGACTACAGAGGATAAAGAGGACGATGAAGAAGCTAGTTAACTTGATAAACTTTACCAATTACTAATGCGTGCCTGTGAGTGTGTGTGTGTGTGTGTGTGTGTGTGTGTGTAGCAGCTTTATTAGCAAATGACTCTTGTTAGTATTAACTTACATCTATTAGTGATTAATTTTTATTTTTTTAATTGATTTAATTATTGTTTTAGCGCAAAATAATTTGTAGCAATGAACAATCATAATAATTTAATTAAACAGTGATTTGCAGGTTGCTTGACCCAGTTTCTGCTCACGTGACATGTATTACTAGTATGGTGAGAGTCACGTGATTAACGAGTTTGCAGGGTCAAGCAACCTGCAAAGCACTGTACCAGATCAGATCAGAGGAGGTTGGTCATGCGTCATGTGATGATGTCACTTCCTCTACCTACTCTCCCTTCATAAAAATGGAGGATTCTCTCTCTTTTCACTTTAGCAGCAGTTATCTCACTAATAATAGTTGCAATTGACTCAAAAACTTAAATGCATTTAGTTAAAAAACTAATAAACAGGATACCTGCTGCACAGTTAGCTACAGGTAGCAAAAGCTTGTCCTCTAGTCTATCTCAGATAGCTACCCCACACTTTTCCAGCAAAGGCAAAGATATTGCATCTTTGAAGTAAGTGCAAATCTTATTCTTGCTCTAATTGTTTGCTTGCTAAGTGTATGTAGATTTCTAGTTATCTATAAAATGTGATAGGTGAAGAAGTCTGAGGCCATTTACAACTAAAAAATATTTTACTGTATTAAAAGAGAAAAAGGTATCATGTTTAGTAGTCTTTTTACTGGATGCATTGACGTTTCTGAGT